ATATATCGTAATAGGTCAATTATGTCCTTGAATTTTGCTGTTGTAATTTGTCTGATATTTTTATACAGTGGTGTCAATACAATATTTTCGAACTTTCTTGGTCTACTCCGATGTGGTAATAAATTCTGGACTTTAAAATTTTCATTTTCATTCATTGATGTCTTATAGAAAATTTTATACGGTTTATTTCTGACAAAATGTATCCAACATATTTTTAATCACTTTATTGGTTCTCCATCAGAATTCTTTACCCTTTTAAAGATTGCGTCTTGTAATAATTTTGTTGGTACAAAATCTTCTTGTCTCATTTCATTTACAATAAAGTTATTACCTTTCCGATACTTTTTAATAATCTTGTAATAATCTTGGGGAACGAACAGTAAATTATTTTTTTTTAATGACATTTCTACCATGCCAAAATCTCTATCATTTGGTAAAAATGAATGTCCTGATATTAAAAATTTGTAATCTATGATTTCCACATTATTTTCCAGAGTTTGGACAATTTTTAACCACATTAAAGCTACTTTAATGTTTCTATTTTGTCCGGCGCACATGTCACTATAAGCTATAATGTGTCTTTCATTTCTTAAATTTTTAACATGTTTTATGATGCATGAAACAATTTCTTCCATTCCTCTGGATGCAATAGTTTCATTCCAAACGTACATGTAAACATTATCATTATGAAAATTGTGAATACCCAAATTTAGAACATACATATTGCGTTTGTAATATACTACTGAGGTAGTCAATTTGGGATACGGTAATCCTTTTTGCAAGTCGAACTAGAAAGCGAAATAATAATCTGAATTACGTGATACTTACTCCTGATCTTGTTTTAGTGAATTCCTAGCTGATTCTGCTAGTCTTAAATGGACATCGTGTTCTTCTGTAAGTTTATTCTTTTCTTCATCATAAAAGCATCATTAAAGCATCATTCGATGCTTTAATTTTGATGTTTAATAAGTCGAATTTTTGACATGTATCTTTGTGCGGTTGGTGGAAATGTAAATCAAAATCTTTTTTAAATATTTTTCTGTAAGTCCACTCATTAACGGCTTTTATTTTATTTTCCTCGCAATGAAGCTCGTATAAATTAAACATTTTCCTAAGAGTTAGATCAGGATGTAGATATCTTTTATTAGGATTATGTGATCTGGTATAATGGGATTCAAATTTAGAAAAAGTTTTAATATGGTTTTGAACGTGCTTTTTCCGTTCCTCAGATAATTTTCTTGTTGATCCAACCATCATCCCACGTAAATCATTGCCTACATTTGTAGACTTTAATACTCGTTTTAAGCGTCCTTCACTTAGTTCAAAAGTATCCAAAAAGAATTGTTTACAGGCGGGAACTTTTCCGGTTTTAGAATTTAACAAATACCTAAAACTCCAATTTCTTGGCGAACCTTTTCCGTTTGTTAGACATCTTCGTTTCACAATTTTGCGCTCGACAGCTTCGTAAAGTAATACATTTTGTTTATTAAAATCTCCCAAACCCTAAAACTTCTCAAAAATATTCTTTCCTTCTTCTTCATCGTAATTTTTTGTGCTAGCATTTCGACAACGGCAATATTTGTTTTGGAAAATTTTACAGGTACAATATTTCCGGTTTGAGTACAATATCTTTTTCCTGAATTCCGTTTAATCTTTCGCACTTTTTGGATGTATGATTCATCAATCTTTTCTCCACTGATATTCGTATCTTCATCCCCTGAAGACGAATATTGTTCTATAATTCTATTTCTTTTTTGATTTTTTTTTAAATCATTAGTTACTATTTCTTCTTCACTATCTGAACTAAAAATGGTCTTGTTCTGTTCTTTCCCATGGTTGAAATAATTTCTAAAATTTAATATTAAATTTTAAGTTTTATATTAATTAAACGTACTGGTTATTCAATTAATGCAATTGTCCAAAAACTGAGGTTAACTTGTTATATATTAATTAATTAAAATTCCCTTCATCACTGCCTTCAGACATTATCAATAGTAAATATCTTGATTTAAGTATAATTGGAGTTAGGCCACTTTTAAACTACACGGTTCAATTATTGAACTAACTCTGAAAACTTATGTGTCAAGAATTATCGTATTTGCTCGGAATATAAGCAACCTGAAATGCTTTACTGATAAATAACATGAAATTGTACATGTAACCATGACAACCGGAAAAAATTAACAAATGGAGTTAAGCCACTTTCAAAATAAACGGCTCATTTAGTGTTTCTATAAGCAAAAACAACAAAACATGGTTATGATTGTACCACTCGTGTACGCACAAAATCAGGTGAATGAACGATTTGTCCCACCACTTGTGTGGGCCCATCGCCAAATTAAATATTAACAATAGTTCATAATACTGCAAGCAGTAGATAATAAAAGACCAATGCTTATTCGTTATTTTTATCGTACCTAGTTCACGTTGACGGTTGGTGGTTGGGCGCTGTAACTTTAATGCCTCTTCCAATTCCATTGTGAAAGAGGATAAGAAAGGAGTAATAAGCTCAAAAATAAACAACCTTATTTAGAAGATGTGGGGCTACCATTATAGGATTGCAAACGACAAAAAATAGGGTTGATGATTTCGGAAACTGCAAGTCTCTTTGTTCCGACTTTGTTGCAACGGCTTGTTGTTCGTCTGGTGTTTCGTTATAAGGTATATACGACCTCATGATGGCACTGCTTCGTTCTTTTATGTGGTGATTTAGCTTCTCCTTGGATTGCTCACAGTGTCACCAGAATCTGTCTCGAAGGACTAAAATTATGTTCCATAGTGAGGGCGCAACTATGAGAGCGTTTCCAGATATGCGTTTTGTACTGAACTAGCGATGATAGTCAATTTGCAAGGAGAATTTCTCCTGTCTCTTCCTTGTCGTTAGAGTTATAGATTCACTGGTCGCGATGAATAAGAGCGGTGGCACTAAACTAGGATGCCGTTGAACACCGCCAGCAAAATAACGCTGGCAGCATTCCCGCAAATTAATGGGAGAACGTGCATTCTTTTAGAAGATCCCGTAAGACTTGTGAGGTGGATGCGCGATAATAAATATTGCGTTCATTGAAGCCGTATATTTAATAAAATTAATTTATTAAACCTTAATTATTATTTATCGTGATGATCGGTGACCCAGGTGTAGTAAAAGATATGTAAAGCAATTCAATACTGTTCGTAGCAGATGTAGGCTCCTTCCGTACACAATGTGAAGCACGTAATTTCGAATTATAATCTGATATCTCTGAATTAGTATCTGAATCATTTCCTTTCGGAATAGGAGATTTATTTGATCCATTACCTACCGTTTTCGCAAGATATCTCATTTCGATTAGTCGTCTCTGGGCAATCATAAAATATTTCTTCTTCAAGCGTGATTAACAACGCTGGAGGCTTGCTTTGCGTTTGTTTTCTTTGTCTGATTTGCTGTTCAATTAAACTAATTTGGGCAAATAATTTTTCTAAATCTGTTGCATTAGATCAACTAGTATATAATGACTCGCACAAGGAACTACTGTCTAATTCATGAATCAGCAGAATTTACGCAGTCTCTGATGGATTCCTCGATAAGGCATTAACATTCGTGTTTGCCTGCCTTATAAACTATCTTATAATTGTATTCCGCCAATCTCAGTCCCATTTTTGTTAATCACGACATTGGATCTTTATGCGATTTTAACCAGACCAACGATCTGTGAACCAAAGTAAATTCTCTCTCACATAAATAAAGTCGAAAATAATGAACAATATAAACTATAGTTAACAGTTCTCTTTTGATGATAGAATAATTTTTTTCTTTTTACCCTTCAAATCTTTCCCACTGAACTTTGGCTTAAGACTGTCTTTATTGCATATCCTGATGCATCAGTGATCATATTGAATTCTCTACTAAAATCGAGATATTATAAGATTGGTTCTTCGCATTCCGGAGGGTGATGAATGCCTTCTCTTGTGACTCATCCCTTTTAAATGTTACCTCTTTCTTTATTAGGTCGGTCAATGGTTTAGCCATTTTTAACACTTGGCATGCGAGTATACTTCGCCGCCAACTTACGCGTGCAGCGGGCGTTTTTTCGTGAATCGCGTGGAAGTTTGGTTATTCAGAAAAACCGCAGTAAATCGAAAACTACTTCGTTTTTATAAACGAAACTTTTTTTATTTTACACTTAAATATATACTGTATGATTATTTAACAAAAAAAAAACGATATTTTTACGAAATCACAAAAATAAACGATTTTAAAAATTTTACAATGTATTCAAAAATGTTTTTTCATGACAAATACAAATAGAACTGATAACACGTTAATAGTTCTTTACAGTATGGTACTGTTCAAAGCATTTTCCTCTGTGAAGAGGAACACGGCAGAAGCTACATATGAAACACATTTCACTTCGCACTTTTTTGGCTGCGCACACGCGACATTGGCTTTGTGCATTTTTCTTCTTCCCGGCATCAACAATTTTCTCCAATACGTGTTTGCGAATATCCATGGATAATCTTCCAGGAGGGTAGCGTTTTGATATCATTTGCTCTGCTTCTTCAGTGCTGATTTCAGGTAGTTCATCAGTAACCCAATGTCGTGCGATGTCGTGCAAAAATTTCTTGTATCTTATTTTTTTGCGCTTTTGTCGAATTGTATATACCACATATGTATTGAAAATTGCACAATTCATCATGTACATAGCTAAGCGCTTTGTCCACTTCACTATTTTAGGCAAAATACTATAGTAGGACAAGTACTAATCTACTCCTTTCATGTACTTGTTGTAGTCGATCAAAGCATTTGACTTTATAATTTTTTGTCTCTTGATACGATCAACATTACTACTTTCTTTCATTTTCGCGGAATGAATTGAAGAGATGATACTGACTTCTTTCTTGGATTGCCAAACTTGTACCAATATATCATTTTTTCTTCGAAAGATTGTTTCTCCTTTTTTCAAATTAGTTTTTTTCAGTCACTCTGGTAGACCTCTATTCTTCCTAATTGTTCCACAAATTCATATTTTTTTTTGTAAAAGGGCTTCCGTGTTATCGACGCTGTTGTAGTGATTATCCATATACAAATGGTGCCAGACATCAGTATATGGCGAAACTACTGTGCGTATCGTTTCGATCAATCGTAATCCTTGAGCTGCATAAACTTTAAAATTGCAAATATAACCTGTGTCACTTTCAGACAAAATTCGTATGAGTATGCCGTATTTTATAATTTTTCCAGCATTGTAAACTCTAAAAAACAATCATCCTCTCCAAAGTATTATGCCCTCATCCAACGATACTAGTTATTTCGGTTTGTAAATGTTATTGAATTTTTCAACAAAATAATTTAGTATAGGCCTGACTTTGAATAACCGATTAGAATCGTCTGAGATGTCTTCATTGTTATCGAAATGCCAAGCCTTCCATATTTGGCGAAATCTACCCCTTGACATAGTTTTAAAAAAAACAGTGTACTTCTACAGACATCAGTTGACCTATAATCGTCTCGGACATCTTTACGAACTTGTCCCATGAAAATAATAAGCCCCAAAAATGTCTTCATCTCCGGAATCGTAATATCTCTCCATTTCATGCTTTTGGGAGATATTTTGAACTGATTCATATTTTGATAATAATATCTGTTTGATTCCGCGACTAAATATGCAAAAAAGTCGTCGCCTATAAATAACTTCACTGCATCAACTGTGGATTCGGGAAGTTTAGCCATGTTAGTTATCCCAGGATGACCCAAAAACTCTTCAAGGTCTGGAGGATTATCAATCGATGACCATTCATCTGCTTCTTCATCAGAAGTTGTTTCAGAACTACTAGAAATTCTTCTTCGGATGAACACACGAGAACGTGGAATAATGTCATCATCGTTACTTTCTTCGATATCTTGACTTTCAGAATCACTATCGTACGAAAAGTCCGATAATATGTCAGCACATATTTCTTCATCACTATCTTTGTCACAACGGCTCATTTTATCAATTTTGTAATCAATAATAAAAAATCAAGCTCCAAATTGACAAAACACGACTTGTACGTTCTGGAGCTAGGAATTTGATTGAAGACGAAATAACTCAACAAAAGACCGAGTAACTCGACAATCATAACATGTGGGAAGAAAAAATGCAAAGCGTTGCCTAGCAACGCAAACAACAAGCATATAATGTCACACATACATATAATTATACGTATTTAGTAGATTTGTGGTGGTTAGCGGGTATCCACCATAAATCTACTAAATACGTATTTTTATAACGTAAATACGTATTTTTACGTGACCCGCGCTCCAGTGACAGACTGTAAAAAACGTAAAAATACGTTGCGCGCATGCCAAGTGTTAATCTCACGGGGTTCTCAACCGGCTTTGATGCTGAACTACATTATGCCAATACTTTGCAATTATTTGTTGCAATTATTTGCAAGTGAAATTTTGCAATAGAAATAACTTCTCTTCGTTTGTACTTATAAAGACAATATGAATTCCACACACAAATGTCTAGCATGTCTGGCATGTCTAAATGTCTAGCAGGAAAAAAATTTGCGGTACCACTTCAACGATTTTCGCGTTCTATTTACAGTACTTATAACCATATCGACTTTGTCTATTATGCCCATTGATTTATTGTAATCAATAACACATACTGGCTTAGCAACACTTTGTAGTTCTCCACATGTAGATACGGCTGCAAAATCTGCCGTATGCATAGTTGTAATCATATATACTTCTTTTTTATCTAACCATTTCATCGTTAACAAACTGTTTGATGAACGAAAGCATGCCTTTCCTTTTTTTCAGATGTTTCTCAAACTTCGGCATTCCTTGCCGTCTTTTACTAACAGTCTCGCACGCATTTGTACTATTATTATGCAACAAATTAAATAATTCTGGACTTGAGTAAAAATTATCAAGATAGATTGTGTGACCGTTTCCTAAGAACGCTCGCAAAAGCGACAAAACTATCGCACCCGACTTTCCGTTCCCCCTTGCTGCACTTTCAATAGTTGTTGACGGTCCGCAATAAACTATAACATCTTGCACATAACCCGTTTTGCAATCGCATAGCATAAAAGATTTGATACCAAATCTATTCCTTTTCGAAGGAATGTACTGCCTGAATGACAAGCGACCTTTGTACAACATAAAGCTTTCATCAATACAAAGATCTTGAAATGGATGGAATGTATCATTGAAGGATTTTCGAAACATATTGACTACATCTCTAATTTTGACTAAACGATCGTCAGTGTGTCCAGAGTCATGTGAAAACTGGATTGTACTTAATAATGGGAGATATCGATCTCTCGTCATAATTTCAGCAAAAATGCTGGATCGAATATTTATCCTTCGACCAATACTCTTGTATTGTTAGCTTTTTGTTGCGTGTCATCAATAAAGATAACGCAAAAAAACAGTAGAGTTCGTCTACTGTCGTCGGGGTGTCCAAATTGTTATTAAATTTCTGAGCCCGATAGTCGTTAGTTTCATCAGCAATATATTGTACGAGCTCTTCAGAAAAAAATAATTCAAAATAGTCTAAAATAGATGACGATTTGGGTAATTTCTTCTTTATTCCGGAATTTCTCGTAGAAAATGTATGTATTTGTGGCATGAAATTTTCAGAGGTCCATGTTATGTTGCAGTTTGTGTTCTCGGTATTATTTTCGACTGACTCGGATTCCGAATCTGACGTGCTGCATATGTTCCTTCGTCGTCTTTTAGGCCAATTAAAACTATTTTCATTTTCTTCAGTATCAGTTATTCCATTTTCAAACATTATATTTCTTTTATTTCTTTCATACATTTTGCAAGGGTCTAAACTGTTTCTGAAAGTACATTTTCAAACAAAACTGTAACCTATAATTCTAGTTTTTTTGCAGAATGACCAATCATACCTCAAGCTCATCTATTCAAATTCTTGAAAGCATTATATATGAAATTTTACTGTTAATGAATAGCCGTCTAGATTTTTTAACGTGAAACAGTTTACGATCGTTTATATGTTTCAAACAGGTTACGTAAAACGTTGTCTTAACAATAAGTAATTTTAAAAAGTGATTTATAATTCAATATGTCAATAAAATCAACGAAATGTTCTGTCGATAACAAAAAAAAAAACAAATTATCGAATGAAGATTGCCCCTGTATATGCATCATTTTGATGCCAGATATATGGCCAGATGACCCAGAAGTTGTCGCGTGGCCGCCGCCTATAGACGGCGTTCGTACCCACAAGTCATATTGAGCACGCCGCTCATAAGCGGCATTCGTACCTACAGATCATATTGTGCGCGCCGCTTATAAACGGCGCTCAAAGCGAAAGGGTTATTAGCCCTAATCAGTGCCCTACTTGCGTCCCTTCGGGCGTCCAGGCACCGCACTATTTCATCGCCGTTCTTCTTTTTCTTCCTGGCCCTGGAAAGTTTCCTTACTGTGGTCGTCGCAACGGCCCTAAGGTTCGTTAGTTCGTCCGACCACCAGTAAGTACTTCTTCTACCACGGGTTTGTCCCCTTACCCGGGACATGGCCGTGTCGCACGCCTGTTTCAGTGTAGACTGTGCCCACTTCACCATCTTGTCCACACAGTCCGCACCGATCGCACTTCTCCCGCATCCAATTCCACCCGTCCACTCCCCCGAGATGAGGGCCGCCGCCAAGTAGTCCTCATCCAGGGAGTTAATCTTCCAGCGAGGAAACTTTTTCTCCTGTGGGCAAGAGTTTGGGACCCCTGTAGCTTCGTGCCTATAATTATATCTAATATGTAGGTGGTCCGACAGGGACTCAGCCTCATCCACTCTCCAGTCCGAGAGGCGGACGCCAGCCGCCGACGTGCCCCACGTTAGATCTATGACGCTCGACCCCTGTGGTCGAACGCACGTAGGACAGCCAACCCGGTTCAGCAGACCCAGATCCACTCTATTGGCCCAGGCACAGAGCAACTCACCTCTCCGGTTACTCCTGCCTTCTGGGTCCCATCTGCTGGACCGGGCATTAAAGTCGCCAGCCACCAGCGCTGGGAGAGCGGGAAATGTTTCTAAGAGCTCCTCAAGCTCATCAAGGAGTTTACTAAACATAATTATGTTCTCGCTGGGAGGAAAGTAAACCGAGACTACCAGCGAGTCCCCCCATTTAACGGCTACATAGAAAAGGCCCCTACGCACAAGGCTACAGGGTCTTCTACTTTCGCCCACAAGCACCGCGGAGAGTGAAGTCCCTCCTAGGGATGAGAACCACCTCTCATCTCCCGGAGGAACCCACTATGGTTCTGCAATGATCGCCAGCTCTACTCTGTCCTCGCGCATGCGCTGTGCCAGCAAGTCCTGTGCACGGCGCGCGTGGTTTGTGTTAGTTTATAGAACAGCAGAGAACATTGTCTATGGACTCTCCGCTGTTTCTACCACTATTGAGGTGCTCGGTACCCCTTGTTCCACCTCCATGTCTTCCTGTGACATTCCTCTATGGGTCCCTTTCCCTGTCACTACACTTCTCCTGTTTGTCATTGTCTCCGGACCACCATTTGGTGCCCTCACGAACACCTTGTCCACCCATTTCTTGGGAGGCACAACCGGGCACTCCCAGGAACCGGCTCGGTGGTTAGTCTGTTTCCGGCCAGCATCTGTGCAAACCGGGCATGCCACCTTGTCCGTACATGCTTTGGCCACGTGGCCCGGCTTCCCACAGATGTAGCACAAGTCTGTCCTAGACTTTGTGGCCGGGCACGTTGCCACGACATGTCCTCGCGCAAGGCACCGGTGGTATGTGAGGGGCCGCTCCCTGAGTTCGTGCACTCTCACCTTTGTGAGTCCCACGTCTATTCTGCCCCTTTCCAGGGCCGCTCTGACAACAGGCATCGGAGCCGTGACAGTGGCCTCACCAAGTCTGCCCCTGCCAATCCTGATCTCTCCGACCTTAATGAGATTGGGGTCCGTTCCAGATCGCACCTCCAAAAGTGCGTTCCTTATGACGGTACCATTGGCGTACGCGTCCAATCCCACCAGCCTCATGGTGCTCGTACGAAAGGGGCGGGTGATTTTTGCCCCTGGGACAGCATTCCTCAAGGCCTCCGCCACCCGGTCGGCCTTCGCATTTGCCCCTTTGCCTCGTACCTGCCATATAAAGGCACCTGTAAGTCCTCTCCTGCAGGACATGGTGCCAATTCCCAGTTCCTTCAGGTTGATTCCTTCCGTGGCCCGCACAAGTGCATCCCTGTACGTCGTCTCCTCGGTACAGGATAGGGAAATTGCTGCGACTTCTCTTTCCCTTTGCAACTTCCTCCTCCGTCGTTGCGCACGGTTTCTCCCCTTCCTTTTCTTCTTGGAGGGCGCCTGTACCCGCAAGGGTTGAGTGTCGTTGACTACATCCCTTGATGCAGCCAGGGAGAGTACATTAGCTTCTCTCCTCTGGACCCTCCTCCTCTTACGGCCAAGTACCTGGACAAAATCATCCTGCGGGGTTAGTGCCTTACCTACACTTACCTGCTTCGCAGGAGGTCTAGTGGACTCAGCACGGAGTGTGGGGCCCCTGTGCGGTCCACCAGCCCCAGTCGCTGCTCCACTCAGCGTCTGCTGCCGCTGTTATTGCTGCTGCTGCTGTTGTCTCTGCGGCTGCGGCTGACGCTGCTGCTGTTGCCGCTGCGGCTGTTGGTGTAGCTGTTGCAGTACTTGCTGCAGTTGTTGCTGTTGTTGCTGCTGTACTTGCTGCAGCTGTTGCTGCACACTGCGGACAGCCTCCGCCAGTGCCTTCACCGACCCGTCTGAATGCCTTGCGTCCGGGGTCCTATCCTTCGTTTTGGCAACCAAGGGAGTTTCCATCCTCTTGATTACCCTTTTGAGGCGGGTGTTCTCCTCTGACACTTCCTTGTTGCGCAGCTCCATGGCTTTCAGTTCAGCCTTCAGCTGCGCAATTGTTTCCTTCGCCGACGGAGGATCATCTTCACGGTTTTGGAGCCTAACTCTCAGGGTCTTGAGTCCCTCCATAGTTATTCTATGGGTCCTCTTCATTACCCCCGAGATGTCTCCTTTGAGGTTCCGGCATCTCAGCCTGGCTCTTTCGGCATCGATGGAGGCCTCCTTCAGCGTGTCGATCACCCTACCAGTCTCCACCTGAGACAAGGCAGGGGTCTCCGCTCGTCCTCCTTCCCCCAGCACGGGCCAGTCTAACACCGACTCATCCTCCTCGGACGAGTACACTACGGGCCTCGCACGCTTCGCCTTCCGCGTCTCCCGTTTGATGGTGAGTCCGGCAAAACGCATGCCTTCAGCCGCCCTAGCAGCCTTCTGCCACTCCTCCAGGTGGCCCTCATCCCTACCTGCTCTTCCTGACGCATTAGACACACCGCAGGCCAGGTCGCCTACCTGCGATGCACTTCCTGACGCATTATCCAGAGCTGGGGCCAGGTTGCCTACCCCAAACTCCTGGCAGTCGTTGGTTGACGACGGCGGGTGGCCTGCCCTACCACCACCTGACACCGCCGTGGCATGGGTATCCCTCCCATGCCCGCTTATCCCATTCGTCGTACTCATCATATTTTTTATTTTAATATAAGGGAGCCAGGCTCCCCAAGGGAAAGGAAAGGAACGGAAGGAAGCAATAGAGAGCAAAGAGTAGAGAAGAGAGTGATAGAAGAGTAAAGATAGGAATAGCCATACGAGAACATTCATACACCATTCATACAATCCCTTTTAGTCGCCTCCTACGACAAGCAGGGAATACTGTGGGAGTATTCTAACCCCGTACCCACAGGGGGAACAGGGGGAACCCTGACACAACCCTGATGCAACCCTTATAATTCCTGACTTAATTATATGCTCGATTTTGGTGTTAAAAATAGATTGGCGTTCTGCTGATAGACCGGGAGTTTGTTATAGCATTCTTTTGATGGTCTTACCTTTATTGGTATCGGAGTGCACCTGACGACGTAAATCACTTTTCCCGTTGTCACGGCCATATAACCGACTCATTTCATCACGTACGCGAACTCAACCGTGTGCAATGTAGCCAGTGCCAAAGCGTTTTTTAACACTTGTTTTTCTAATTCGCACTTTTGTTTTACGACATCATTTTATAATGTGGTCATCTGGTTCTTCATTATCTTTTCTAGGAAAACAAATTTTGAGTTCAAGTAAGCAAAAGATCAAGTTCCTCAACTAAATGTTTTATTTTTGATGCAAATGTTCGGCCTTTACGTGTTTCCATTATAAACAATTTTAGATGTTCAATTTTTTATAATGTTTAACCACATAAATAATTTCTAGTGCGAGCGTGACGTCATGCGTAGTCTACATATAGAATGCTTCTGCCTTTCTTAAAACTATCAATTTTGTCGTTAAGCCCTCATGTAACACATTGTAATGCTCGAAATTGCGGGCTGAATCAGTTGTCCAGAATACATTACCCTCCTCGTCTGTGATATAAGTGCCTTCCGTGAAAATACATTTAGTTCCTTGTCGGAGAATTATGTCATTATCCTTGATTTTTACCGTTCAAAGTATTCTTCTAGGTTGATCTTCACCGATTCTTGCATTACTATGTCGTTCCAAGTGCTATATGGGACGACGTATTGCGTTCCAGTGCAAATAAATCCGGCCAACTGTGAATATAGATCCGGTCAACGTAACACTTCGATTTTCTGTAATGTTGACATTTAACTCCGATATTTGAAGTGTGGAAGTTATGCCTAAGATTGCTGTGTTGAACGCGGTTTCACACGTTTCCGAAGACGTGACCAACATATATAGTCTTTTCCTGTTATGCACGACGGACACGTGTGATGCCATTCTGAAACATTATATCGTGCGGTCCAGTTCCGCATGACATTGATGCACATGTGTACATTCGTTAGCCGGAGTAGTTGTATATAAACCTACATAGAATTCAGAATTTCGGTAGGGGCGTTACAATCCTTAGTGTCCAACAATGATAATGTTGTAATATTGGTGATCGCTCCTCCGCAGTCACACCCCAGGAAGGCGGCACAGATTTTGACCATAAGTAGCATCGTTACCGCTACTGCTAATATTTTTCCCACGTCTCTGAAACAGTTTAAATTCTAATGTTTGACTTGTTTGACTTATTTTCGATTTCCTTAATTTGTTACAATTAAATATCTTCGTTTTTCCATTAACTTGTAATTTAATATTGTTGTGGGGTAGCATTTCTAGAATTTTGTGAGGGTCAATGTTCTGATTTCCAAATTTTAAGGTTGATTCCTTTAAAAGAAATACTTCGTCTTCCACCTTTAATACTTGAGGATTTATTTTTTGATCGTAATACCTTTTTGATCGTTTCTTTACTTTCACAAGATTATGTCGTGCTACCTATTGTGTATGATTAATTTTGTTTATTAATTTAGTGTAGTATTGAAAATACGTCTATTCCAAATTCTCACCTAATGGCTGGTATTTTATATATAGTTATCTTTCCGAGAACTAGTTTATTAGGTGCGAAGCGAGTTCTTTCATGAGTACTGATGTTATACGAGGACATCGCAAATCATTTGTCTTAATGCTTTTCCTTCTTGACGAACATTTTTAAATATTCCATCAGTACATGGTGACACCTTTCAATCGACCTGTTAGACTGCGGATAAAACGCTGTATTCTTATACTGTTTTATTTTGAATTTTCGCGCTATTGCTTTTGTGAAAGAACTTAGAAAATTCGTACCTTTATCTGTAAAGATAGCGCGCGGTGCTCCGAATTTATAAATTAAGTCATTGACCATTATATTCGCTATGTCGATGGACATGGTGTTACAGAGGCTTGCTGCAATGGAGAACTTTGTAAGTTGATCTTGGATGATCAGTATAAATTTATTTCCCTTTGGAGTTTGAAGGAGAGGACTGACAATATTCATTGCTACTATATCGAACGCAGCACTTGGTGTGTCTGTCAGTATCATCGGGTGTATGTTATTTATTCTAACCAATTTTGGTAGTTGGCATTCTAAACAATTTTGAATAAAAAGTTGTATTTGTTCTTTCATGTTTTTCCAATAATAATGTTGTTTTATTCTGTTGTAAGTTTTCGTTGTCAATAATAATGTTGACTTATTCTGTTGTAAGTTTTTGTTATCTCTTTATGTATACTCCTGATGCGTGATATTTTCGTATTAAGTCCTCCTTCTTATGTTTCTCAGGTGTTTTTGTCAAATTTTTACAAATGCAAATCGTACAAGATTCTCCATTAACCCTTTCGTTACGGCAGTGCGCTCCACCGGAGTGACCCCGGAATGAGGCGTTGCGCCGAAAAGTGTACACAGTGCACGTTGCTAGTCTACGGTGAACGCTCAGACATCATTCAACACTACCTTGAAATTCCTTTATATGGATACTTTTTTAAGAGCTACTTAACAACTTTTTCGTCATATTATATGAGAAACTTGAAAATGAGTATATTTTAAAGCATATTTTGTTATTTACATATTTACAGATTTCGCTATTATTATAAATAAAAATACAGTTTATGGTAATGACAACATGAAGTTATAATTCGTAGTAATTTAATTCGGTATGGTAAATTTTAAAACAAGGATTCACGCATAATCCTACGTTACAACTTTTGCATTCATATCTGGATTCGCGTCTTCTATCGTTTGCCGTGCTAACGGCGCACCTTCTAGCTCGGTTCTTTCCTACCGGGGCCTAGACCGAAGAAAAATGTCTTTCAATCAGTCTCGATGGATAATTATTCCCCGTTCGCTGATAATTTTTGCCCTTATGATATTTCTCTAAGATTTCTCTGATTAATTTTAAATGAAATTTGGCCATGGATATAACTTTTCGCGTTTTGTGTTTGTAAAGACAATACGCATTCCATATACATATGTCTAACAAATAAAAAAAAATGTTTTTGTAGTATTTCAAACATTTTCGCGTTGAATTCATGGTACTTATTACCATATCTGCTCTATCTACGGTACCCATCGAATTATTGTAATCTATTACGCAGACCGGTTTTTGAACTACTTGATTTCCTCCACGTCTGGAGACCGTTACAAAATCTACTGTGTGCATGGTGGAAAGCATGTACACTTCTCTCTTGTCAACCGATTTTATAAATAATAAATTATTAGATGAGCGAAAAGTTGCTTCCCCTTTTTTTAGTCGCTCATTTGTCTTTGGAATTCCGCTCCGCCTTTGCCTTACGGTTCCGCAAGCATTTGTACGATTATTATGTAATAAATTGAACAACGCTGGACTAGTATACCTATTGTCGACGAAAAGTGTATGACCCTTTCCAAGGTAGGGCTTCATAAGTGTTTGAACTATAGCGCCTGATTTTCCAATACCCGTATTTTCGTTGTCCACTATAGTTGAAGAGCCAGAATATACAATACGGCATCCGTACACACAGGTCGTCATGTGGATGCCGGATATACACGGCACCCGCAACGAAAGGGTTAAATATCTCCCCCAGCCTTTTTTCGATGTATTGTCATGGTACATTATCAACTTTGATTGTCTTTGAAATGGATACCGTACTAAGATCTACCTCTCGTATTGCCGATAGTAGCGATACGAGTGCGGAATCTTTTATTTCATCATTTAACATTATGTCGTTCGTTTCCTTAATGAGTAGAGATATTAATTTATTCTTTCAGAAATTCGTTACTCTTGCAGATCCCAGCGTTAGATCTTTATATTGAAGAAGCTTTCCGAGTTTGGCCAATTGTTTAGCTCCTTCATCATAAACAATTCAGCGCATAGTTGATGAAGATCGCTAAATTGTCTTTTTTGATCGAAATTTGATCGTGTGATTCTACCATATTCCACGAATTCCTATATGTTTCCTCTGAATGAGGCGATATAATGTACGGACACGAGGCAGAATCAAACATACCTTCTGAGCTAGTGTACGAATCGTCGTCTCTTTGATTGGGGCGGAGAGAGATATTGGAACCACTACCTGACGCCTCATGTAACACTTACCTTATTTCTGAATTATCACCATTTACCTGGTTTATACAGATGTTTAATGGCGTCGAAATTCCTACTGGTGGTTCTTCTCTCAAGTTTAATGTTTGTTCATTTATCTTTGGTCTGATTCAATACAACGATTCGTCAGATGATGTTTCGTTCGATGGACGAATAGTTAAGATCTGCATAGTTCCGGGAGGAATCCAAAATAGAGCATCCTCGTTTACATTAACAGTTCCCGATTAATAAATGATATTGAAATTATATTCAGCTAATTTAAGAGCCCATTTAGTTAGTCGAGAAGTTGGATCTTTAACTGACTTTAGCCCTACTAACCTCTCTCTCTCTCTCTCCCTCTCTCTCCCTCTCCCTCTCTGTCTCTCTCTCTCGTTTTCGACGATCAAACGATTCCGTTATAAATAATTCTTTCTGTTATAACCTCGACGATTTCGATCGTTACTAACCATTTTACACAACTATCACATGAAGTATCCATATAAGACCAGTTTAGTCCCTCTTGTTTCTAAATGTTCTTTTTTGAAAGTAATAAAATTTCCAAGCTAACCTAAAACTACGATAGAAATAAACCAGTAAAGAACCAACTAACTATACAACAAAGTAACCATACAACTAAGTCAACGAACAACCAAAAGAACAAACAAGCAAGCAAGCAAACAAGTAAGCGAATAAGCAAGCAGCGGAAAGCAGTCGCGAGATCCAACCGATAATATTTCTCCATTGTTCCATAGTAGTAGCGGTAGTGTTAATAAACCCAACTTATGAGTGACCAAGCTAAGATGAACAAAGAAACACAAAGTGTACATGCATCTAAAAAAAAAGAAAGAATGAGATAGATAGAGAGAGAGAGAATGAGAATGAGAATGAGAATGAAGTTAAAGAGCCGCAAGGATTATTTTGGCTGGTACACAACGACAGAGACAAAAAAAGAGAGCCAGAGAGAATAAGGGAGAAAAAACTAAATTCCACGATGGTAAACATGCCGCTAGAAGAAACTTAGAAATAACTAATTTTCGAATGATTGTACGTCGGCGCCGCATGCATAGAAAGAAAAAAGATAATGAAAATAGTAAAAATAAGAATTGCAAAAAAAATTGCACCAAAGAATAGGAGTGCAATATTTTTATTTCAAACAAGAAATAATTTCACTCAGTAAATAACGATTATACGTAAGATTTCATCAAAACTAGATCAGGAAGAAGAAAAAGAAGAAGAGAAAGGGAAGAGGTAATTGACAGTGAGAATGACGATGGCGGTAGCAGTGGTGGTGGCTTTGCCCGAAAAAATAGAATAATTCAATTAGAAAAAGAAGTTATGCTATTGAAGATTAACAATGCCACGATTCGTAACCGTAGCTGCAATGGCATCTTTCGCATTACTCACATTGCGGCCCATTGTACCGGCGAACGATTGTTCCTCGTCCCATTGCGTGCACCGTGAGCCAGCACAGTGGATATAGGTGGAAAGGGTGGATGAGTCGCTGGAAGAGAGAGAGATAGATAGCTAAATACATTTTTTTATACTTTAGGACTTTCGATCCCTAAGAGCATACGACCAGTAATACAAAGAGTTTAGTCCTAAATACATTCTTCCAATATTTGTTTACGCAGTGCGTTTATTGAATTATTCGGTGAAATTACCTACTACTTCTAGAGACTACAGCAGTATAGATATCTATATGGAAAAATGTTATCATTTTCGTTTGATTTGTTCTGAATTTCTTTTATCAAAATAAAGGATAAAAACAATAAGGAGATAATAATTAAATCGTCAAGGTCTCCAATCTTAATCAAAATTAAAAAAAAAAATCAGTCGAGTTATCGATATATATATATATATTTTTATATCCGATCATCGACGACGGACGGAAGGATACAAGTGTCCCTTCTCTGCACGAAATCGCGAGTAGCACCTGTTAAAGCCTTAACTATGCCTAGACTCAAGTTGTACGCCGCGCTTTTACTCATACGATTACACAAAGTAGTGCAAAAGGCGTTGCCAATCATGCGCATTACAAAAAGTATCTTCTGGACGGACTCGACCATCTGTCTGTCCTGGATTGAAACTTCTCCTCATGTGCTTAAAAACTTCGTAACAAACAGATTTGCAGAAATTAAAAGCATAGAAGTGGCGCTAAGTGGGTCTATTTAGCGCAAATAACAAGGACGAGATGGGGGATATTTTTCCGTGCAAATCGACTGCCATCGCTGGTCCGGTACGAAACGTGCATCTAAAATCGCTCTCATAGTAGCGCCCATACGACGCAATACAAAACAAATAGTATTATTTCATTGTTTGGACATTAAAAGGAATGATAAGATTAAAAGGAATTACCGCTTTCAATCAGGAAGATATATTTATTATAGAAGAAAGCTTACGATTTCTTATCACGAGTACCCTCTGCCTGAAATCGTTTATTCATAAAGCTCGTATTTTTCCAACGCGTATTTTAAAAATACAATGTACTTTTACAAGTTTATCTTAGATATCCAAATAGTAACATGTCACCATTGACTTTTCTATTAAAAAATTGAATGTATATAATGTACATAATATTCAGATATGTTTTTATTACTATTATTATGTTACATTGTTATTTGGTGTAGTAATAATACTTGTAGTACAGAATGGATTAGTCCTATCGGGGTAAACCATTTAAAAAAAGCGCTAAGAGTTTTACCTCATAATAATATTTTGATTTCTGTAATAATATTTAATATTTAAATATTCACTAATTATTATTTTTTACAAAATATTGGATAAAATCTTGTTTTTACATCGTAAATTTAAATACTACTTATTATAAGTATTATTCTAATTATATTTATTATTATTTATGTATTTATCGTAAAATAGATATGAGTTGTGTCTAGTATGACCCTATTAAACAAGGATATTTATATATATCATATCAATCGTCGAAGTACTTCAAACGAAAGATGATGAACAGCCTTAAAAAAATTCTCTCTCTGTGTGTTTGCAAAAATGTACACTACGAATTCTTATTTCATTCAAAAGATAAAGTTTTTTTACATGAGATTTTCATGTACGATTTTGGAAAAATGTCATCTGTGCAAAAATCATCTAGAATAAAATAATTTGCACAAGTAATTTTCACACATATAAAAACTTATTTTGAAAATCGGAAATGAGAATATCCTGTAGAAAATCTTCATCTTTCGAATGAGTTATTAATCATTACAATCAAACATAAATTGCGATCAGGAGAATTTATGGTGTAAACCAATGCAACATGGGGCATAGATTTCATGCAGATATGCTTGTGTCGTCATCCTATATCGAGAAAATAATGTATATGAATCACGTCTAATTTTAACTCATCACGTTACTTCGAAAAATCAAGCAATAGAGTTTTAAAAAATTATATTTTTTAAACAAATATATAATATCATTAATTAATTATAATCAATGAAAATTATTATTTTATATAATGAAATGTTTATATAACGAGTACGTTTCTGTAGTCCTCTCGTGTGTTGCTTCTTTTAAACCATTTTGGGTATAGTTTGCTATTTTTGATTTGACCATACATATTCTATTGTTATTCCAAAATATTTTATTTGATTATATATATATACACAATAACTATTTAATTATAATATATATTTACAAATTCATTATTATTTCTGTCGAATCCGCATAATGATATTTACAATAAATAATATTATTATCAATTGATTATTATAACGCATTGTTTTAAACAGCAAGAGCAATATGATCAGATAAATGACAGAAGGACGAAGAACTGCAATACTTTTTACAACATGATGTAAATATATATATATAACTTCTAAATAATGTTATTACTAGTTTATTATTATAACGTAAAATTGTTTTAAGCAGCAAGAACAATATGGATAAATCAACGAAGGAGGAAGATTTACAATACTTTTTGGAATATAATGTAAATATATCTAGTAATTTCTTTTAAATAATATTATCACCAGTTTATTATTATAACGCATTATTTTTGATAAAAACAATATGATAAAATTAACGAAGTATGAATCATTATTATTATTTGAATTGAAGCCATTGTCTGTAACGTTGACTAGATTTAACGTAAACCTATTTGTTCTTTGTCAATAAAACGAATAATTTTGAGTATATTTGCATTATTATTTGCGATTATTCTATATATGAACTACTCATTTGCCAAATCGATTAATTCCATAAAACAAAAACCGAAAAAATATGGTGAAATAATATAAATTGTTTTTTAAAATTCTCTTTAAAGTATAAATTTAAATAAACATTGTAAAATAATGCAAACGTAGCTTTCATTTAACAACGTATAAAGTGAATAAGATAGAACAGTCTTAGAATAATTGTTAAAAATAAATTATTTTTTATTTCAGTAATAACAGTATTAAATAACGGAATTAAAGAAATTTATTATGAATATAAAAAGTGAAGACTGCATCAAGTGATTTAACACATAAATTTGAAAACATTCAAAATGTGGAGTTAATCGAATTGGCTTGAATATATATTATATAGATTAAGTCTATATTGTGTCAATGTATTATAATAAGATTTTTTCAATTTGATCCTGCACTTTCATTAAATATTTTGTTCATCCGTCGTCTTTTTAATAATATTACCTCTTAACTTGTCTATCGTATGCAATTTGTTGGCATAGATTTAATATAGCTTCATAAAAAATAGCCAAATTACATGATCTTGGTTAGCAAATAATGTGATAACTTCGCAAAATAACGAATTTTTTGAATTTTTCAGCCAGTAAGTCACTTGACGATTGATGAGAGGCCAATATCACTCGTGTTAATGATGAAATTGAGTCCTATTTGTACGAGAATGTAATCGAAAATTAAACCAAGAGAATGCACGTGATCATACAGAGCCAAGGTGGTCACTTGATCGTTATTATTTTTCATACATAATGGTATCACTTGAATATATTTTAAAATGAAGTAAAAAATATTACAATATCACAAATATAATTTGCTTTATTTTAATTTAACCCTTATCACTCCAAGTCTGTTTATCAGGCATTACATTGACTATTTTATTCCTTATTAACTTTACTTTTCGACCACTCAATTGTGTCTCTAAATTCCGTATACTCTTTATTCGCATCTTAGTTAATCTTTTTTTTTTATTTTATTCTAAACGCATCTATTTCACCTTTATGACGAGAAAGAAAAAAATTATTTGCTGCTAATTTGGGAAGATAAGTGAATTGTAATCATAGAAAAAGTTTCAAAATCAAATATGATTATTGATTATTATCGAAATTATATTTTTCTTGGAAATGTATAAAGATTGTTTTAAAATGATTTGAAGATTATTACTTGTGTGTTATGGTCGCATTTAAAGTAAGATATTCCAAACTTAATAAGCAAGCATATATCAAAGATAGTTGGCGATCGTTAATTGCACTAAATAATCGGAGTGATAATAGTTAAAGTTTGTTGTAAGTTCTTAATGGAAAAAACTATTTTAAATTACTACCTTTATGAAAGCCTCTGAATACTTTGCATAAAATAATGCTATCTTTAATTAACTTCCCTATTTTATAATATATATATTGTAAAATTTCGTAATATTTACAATATAATATATTATAAAAACCCTGTATTACCATTTTTAAATATAAATTATTAGAAGTGATTATACAGGATTTTAGATATAAAGATTTTAAATATAAATTATAGAAAATTGTTTATTATTTATAAAATATAAACTGTACTTATACAAAAAAAAAACTATCAAAGCATAATTTTATACCTTTTACATTTTATAAATAAGTCAAGATAAATATAAAATTCTCCACAATACTTATATTGCCTATTTACAGAATATAAATATAATAATAATATAAAAGATATAAATTATTTTTAATTGTCCGATTCTAATTGTTAATTTTTATTTTGAGCAGTTTCACTAGAAATTTTTTGCTTTATCCACGCTTTCGCTAATGCCAAAAAGTTAAGATTTGCTCTTTGGTATTCGTCTTCTGGGAATACGAAGTCGAATACTTTTTCCCGAAGCCGAATATCTTTAATTTAATATAGATTATTTTTAATATAAATTAAGAATACTTTTTTTAAATTTAAATTTCTCCAAAACTATTTAATGTATGTTATAAAAACTACATACTCTACCTTCTTCAACCATTCGTCTTCTTCGTTTAATTCTTCTAGGCATTTTGACAATAATTTTAATCTAACTCTGTCTCCTTTCTCATTTTCGAAATCTCTTCATGCTTTCAAAAGTAATATTCTCCTTTCTTTGTCACTGTTTGCAAATAATGCACAATTCCCACGTTCATAAATTCTACGAACTAAGGTAACTTTATCAACATCATCTTTCGATGGAAAATTAACTAATTCAAATTTAGCATAAGTTATCCAAACGTGTATTATAATGTAAAAATATTCATAAATTAAGTTGAAATCACACTTACTTTGACATGAACATTAAGATGAAATCACACTTACTTTGACATGAACATTTCGTTCTAATAATCTCTCTAATAGTTGTCTAGTATTTTCTATTTCATAGACATATAGACATTATAATAATTACATAAATATAAGTACAATAAAACATAAGGTAAATGTAACTATAAGAAAAGTAGTTTACTTTCATTCACGTTGTGCAGTTTTGAGGTGAAAATTCAAGTAATTTTTCATACAGAATCCTGCATCTGTCAAATTCTCTAGATTGTGTCTCTAAATCATTGTAACCACAGTACAATTTGTCTTTGGGATAAACACCCAATACCATACCTTGAAATAAATGAAATTAAATATTTAAAAATACAATAATTTAATACTTATAAATAATAAAAAAAAATATTATAATAATAACATACTAATGTTTTTCTCGCTAGTCAAATTTTTTTGTTGTATTTCGAAATATGCATAACATAGCCATATCTTAGAAAATGTGAAATGTTTATGTAGAATAAGATCTAAACAGATTCTAAAAAATAAAAAAATATTATAAAATTCTATCTTTATACGCAACAATAAAGTATTATAAAGTTATCTCTCCATATATAACAATAATTTTATATAAAATAAACTATACCTGTAAATTTGATGACATCTATATATAACTTCCGTGTCAATTTCTTCATACAAAGCATAATTTATGTACAGGTAGATATATCGTTTCCACGCTCCTATAAAAAATTTATTTAATAGAAAGGAACTTCAATTTGACTTCAGAATTGTTCAAATGTAAATATTCATTACCTTAATAAAAGGGACATTTGCTATTGCTCGTTCATACGCTCTTACAACATTATGATTTTCTTCAGATTTTACTAATCTCAGATAGTCAAACCAAACATCATAATTAGAAAAATTTTCCTTGACTTCTTGCTCATATTGATATTTTCTTTTGCTAATTATTACATCTTCAATGCCTATTTAAAAATGTTATGAAGTTTGTGTTATTTTTTTATAAATTTATACAAATTAATATTAATATTTTAAACTTTTTAATTCATATTTCGTATTAAATAAATCTTAATCTTTATAGCATGAATTACTTGAAAAATCACCATATTTCTTTCGTGTATGGTATATGCATTATATATTTCTTTTGTTCTTTCTTTTGAAATATTGTCTAAAGTATACTTAGAAATTATTTTGCTCTATCGTGCTATCAGAGAAATATTAAAATTATACGTATTATAACAGAGATACTGAATCTATTGTTATCTTAAAATAATACTTCTCTTTGTCCTTCCTCAAATCTTGCAAATGCTATAAATAGCTTTTCATTTAAGTTCTCATCTCCGAAAAAGTTTATAACATCTTCATAAACTTTGCGTCCTACATTTATTACAGATCTATATATCTCCCTATGTAATTATATATCTCTACCTTGCTCTTGGTATTTCTTTATATTGTAATTCAAATTTAATATATGTTTGCCACATCTGTTAGTCAGGTTCCCATTCCATCCATCGCCCAAAAACTTGACGTGTTTCTATAATAAATCTTTACAAAATCAAGTTACATAATAAAAAATAATCCCTAATTTTATATCAAATCTTACCAATAATATTTTCTAACATTTCTTCCATAATATATGTGTTTTTGTATCAAAATTAATTTATTCTAGGTAAAATTGTGACTGCACGATCTAATAAATTTCTGGCATAATTTATTTACTTATTGTGCATTTCTATTTCAATATAATATAGCCATAATGTAATGTTTCCATGATCAGCATCTATCGCACGTTCATATACAGATTTAAAATAAATTGGACATATAAAACCTTGAAATATTTCTAATACAACTAAGACTATAAAATGTACTATTTTTTGTATTTAAAGTACCTTGCTCTCTGCATTGTTTCTAAGTTTCTTCCCATCGGGCATATTTTATCCGATTCGTTATAACCATATGATTCTTACACATATTGCCGTCATAGATATTTCATTTTCCATGTTGATAATTAGCCAATTTAGGGGGATTTTATATTTTCTGCTTAGGTGGCTAAAGGGGAATACTTACAAATGAATTGTTCTCTATGTAAAATTATTGATAGGTTTAACATTATTGCATAAAGATTTTTTTCTTTGCTTCTTTAATAGCTGTTTTGCTATGATTTAAATTTTCTCGGGTGCTTGTTTTTCACCAAAAAAAAATTTTAATTGTGAATAAATATTACAATTATAAGTTGTTTATGCTATAATTTATAATTATAAAATAAAATATACTAATGTATAATAATCATTTTACCTTAGCCAATTTGGGCATTTTTTGTGACTTTTCCGTTACGATGGTTAATCGTTATTCTAACCAAATAAACACAACTTCGCCTACGCTCACGTGAAAACAGTCTGACAACTGGTTTGTTCTACGACGTATATATCGCATATGATCTTTTAACCTTTTAGCTACTAAATGCCATCTTGAAGAAATAATATGGAAACAAATACATAACGACCATAAGGTAGTAAGACAATGATAGCGGATGAAAATCTACTTTTCATGATATGTTGTTTCCTTTTCCACTGCGTTGTCGTCGCTGCAGCGGCAACTTTAAACAACTTTGTATTTTTATACATATAGGGAGATATTTTGGCATCTGCTTATTCTAATCAGTCTGGTCAAATACTTCTGAAGTAACTGGTAGCTCATTGTAAAAACAACTTAGAATTGCTAAAAGCTCTTATTAAAAATTGCTTAGAGTGCAAAGGGTTAGTCTTATCTCTCGTTGGGTAGTCATGAGTTAAAATTATCAAGGACAGGATTTGTTGAGAATTCGCGCATAAAATAATCACATGAAATGACGCTTTTTACTCTTTTTGTTACCATAAATTACCGTCAACATATGTATCATGATGTATATAATATAAGTATATTTTTCTATTTTTTCTTATTACTATTCTTATTATTATATTATTACATTACATATTATTATAGTAATAGTAGTAGTAATAGTAATAATATGAAATGAAGTCTTACATAGGGAACCATAACAAAATAGCACTGGGAGAAAAATCTCGTAATGTGTAAATGAACTCGTGTTTTGATCTTTTTTAAAAATAATATACAATATATATGTTTACTATAATATATATACTTCATACGCATGTCATCGAACAAAATTATACTGCTGTGTCCTATTCGGCAGAGATCACCGTCAGAAATTCAAACATCATTGGAGAAAATAAATATAAGAGATTGAACAGCAACACCGTACTAAATTATAAAATGAGGAGAAAAAGAGTAAATTAATTCATTATTTTTGTTTATATTGATAAAATAAAAAAATAACCGATATCATTTATAGCCTCGAATCTAACATTTCTTTAATTATCAATCTAGATGCTTGTCAATGTGCTATACATTAGATAGAGATATTTTTTCTTCAGAATATTTACAAGAGATATTCAAATTAATTACATAGATAATTTTACTTATTATTCGATTTATTATTTGTTTGTATATTAGTATAAAATGTTTAAAAGGTTGTGCTCCATAGATAGGTCTTCGTCATTCTTGTTGCCGGCGTCGCTGAGAATAATTGGGATCTGTATGTGATGACGAAGTTTTATCATTTCGTAATTACAGGTAATTAAGATTATTTTTTCTAAATTACTTATTCGTCCAATATATATAATCGATCATCAAACGTGAGATTTCTACGACATAGTGTTTGCAAGTCAAGAAAATATTGCGTTTCTGAAATGGCGAAAATAAAATTTCCGTTTACATGTTTTCATCGCCATTCTATTGCGTCATATTTTTCTCGAATTTCTCGCCTTTAATTTTTGTGGTATGTTTGCTTCTCTTGTTTTAAGATAACTTAGTCCGTGTCCTTTTCAAAAAGTCGAATAAAAATAAACAAAACATTCGTTTGCTAGGCACGTGATAGATGCGATGGACAACAGTTATTAGCTGTCAAACTACTATTGATAGTCAATTGTAAAATTTAGGAGTGAAAATGTTTTTATTAACTAGTTTCGATTTCTCGGGCTTACTAAACGGATGACGGATTACTGGCAGATTGTTAAAGAAGTGTCTGAAAGTTATAAATACGGTTTTGTTCTGATCACGCATGTTTATTTCTACTGATGACTCGTTGAACGGAATATAATAATTTATCAATTATTAATCCTGACTGATCGTATTATGTGTTATATTCGATTTTTATCTAAATCGTATATATTTGTGTACATATATATACGTACTTAATATATCGTACATATAATATATATACATGTGTGTATATTCCTGATAGATACTATACATGAATACTAATATTACATATATGCATACATATACACACGTACACGTTGTGTATATAACTCGTCATGGATAAATATATGTACGTTCATACATTTGTACAGATACGCACATGTACATATGTAGAATTCTCAAAATTAAGGCATTTCTTTGTCTCATCAGCGAGCGAGTGACTTGTTTCGTTCGGAATTGTTATTGTCTAGTTCGTGATATAATACATAAGACAGCGAATGCTATCTTATTTATAATATAAATTAAGGATAAATATATGTAAATAGGTTGGAAGAAAATGGTAAGATTTGAAAAACAAGAAAGGACATTTTGTAAGAACTTGTGTTGTTGTCAAAAGAATATTATATTACCTTTTATAAATTATAATACATACTACGTATATTGGATACTATATATTATATGTAACATACGTACTCATTTTGTATATATACAATAATACATAAAATTCTAGGAATCGACGAAGTTGGAAACACAGTGAAGGTCGTTTATTATATTTTGCTGTTTTTCTTATGTAGTCGAAGTAAGCTAAGCGTGTTGTTAATAAAAAAGGTCAAGTATGTTTTGATGTATGAGGGTACGTTAAATATGAATAAATCTTGTATTACATCCTAGGAAATAATATCAGTAATTGTTCTCGGAAATTTGTTTTCGTGTACGAACTTACGAGAGATTTGTAGCAGGGATGGGTATAGGTGACCTCTCTTTCTCAGAATGATACGATACCTAATCGCAATAACATTCTCGGCTTCTGTTGTATAAGTATTTGCGTCTTAATTATACCAGTGAAAATTTAACTATATTTTATTTTAGAATAATTAATAATTATCATAATTACTAATAATTATGCTATGTATTTTTATTATAAAATAATTAGCATCGTGAACATTATTAATATTTTTTAGAGAATACTATGATTCATAGGTGATATTATTTTCTAATTCTTTTTATTACCGTTATAATGTTCTTGTTTATTTCATTATTACTTTTTATTAGTAAGAATTCAAATATTTTTATATTTTTTGACTATATACTTTTAATGATTTTTTTGTACTGTACAATAATATTGTTTATTTTTCAGATTATGATTGCAGTTGTTTGTGCAGCCATAGATGAATCGATCTTTGTTTTGATAAAATAAAGAAGGAATTGTGAAGTTAATTTGTTGTTAATGTTTTTCGGTTAATTTAAATTTGTTTACGTTTAATGATGTTCAAAAACTTTTAGAAATATGTGTGTATGAATAATTTGGGCGCAAAGCAATCATAGAGTCAATATTTGTTCGTCTAAAATTTTATTTATCTTTTTTTCTACAATCAGACATACTGTAGATATTTGTATATGAAACAAGTAATAGATATTCGCGAATTAAATTCATTGTTTGCCTCTTAATTATTAAATAATTATTGCGCATTTAAGTCAGTGCATCACGGAAGATGATCAAGGAACTATTACACTTCTGTAGAAGAATATTGGTAAATAAATGTTTAAATTTAATAGCTAATATAATTCTACATTTTTTTTTATTACGATAAATTTAATAAAAATTGTGTTTAATCCTTTGTGAGATTTGCATTGTCATTAAGTCAATGTATTACAAATTCAATCTAATTAATTTTCCATCTACATCGATTTATTTCATTTCGGACTTATTATGGAACAGCTTACATAAATTTCCAGCTACATTTGGGCGAGTGAACAAATTTAAAACCCTTCTGTATATATTATGTCGACTTGATATGAGTTACTAGTTGTAATTTTTTCTATTAATTGTTGACGAATAGCCATTAATAATTAACTTTTTACAGTTTTAATTTTTTTTAACAGTTTTTTTTTTTACAGTTTTAATTGTTTTTTTATTGAGCATAGTCTAGTTTCATTAGCTTAGGATAGTATTTTCTTGTTTTATTAATGAATCATTTCATTAATACGAGTCATGTAACAAATCTTTGCAGTGTGATTTAAGTGCGATTGGTTGTCACAATTGGTGACGAAGGCGTTCACACGTTGGCTTCTGCAGCATTTTGACTATGAGTGTTTGAACGTGTGCCAATTATGTAGATGTTAACGAAATTTATTATTATAAAAACTATAAAATCTGATTAATTTGAATAAATATATTTTTGCACATGTATTTAAACGTTATAATATAATCAAACAGATCCTAACACAAAAAGTAAGTCTTTCGAGATCTTCTTTAGATGCAATAATCGAGAACAATTCATCCAGTAAAATGAAATAATTTTTGGCTTAGAAATACTAGTAACATTTTATTTCAATTTGTATAGATATACTTATTTTTAATTTCTAACGTTTACAAAAAATTAATAAACGTTAATCGTGTGATATCTTTCAATGCACTATAGTGCATCTAACACAATTTGGCATCTTTTGTATTTCCATGTTGTTTCAATGCATTTCTTATATTTTTCACTAATTTTATAAGCTCTTATTTATTTTTTGATATTGTTAAATTGTTTTTTATTTTCTTGTTTTTTTATATTCTTTGAAAAATGAGCCCAATGTTGCATCTATGGTTTTCGTGATGATTATTGCTATTCGATAAGTTATTTTGATCCACAAATTTTTTTCGTAATCCACAAATTGTGCAGTTTTTAATAATAATTCTACAATATTTATTCTATATTCAGTGTAACTTTGTTTCTTTTCTTTATTTATTGTTTCGTATAGTATATATCTATTATAAAGTGCCTTGTCGAATGTATATAAGAAAAATTTTCTATATATTTTCATATATTATCTCATAATAGAAAAAGAAATTAGCGATTAATTCCAATCATACTTTTATTATATTCAGTGACATATTTTAGTTTCAAAATACGATTGAATTGAACTTATTCTTGCCTACAATCAGTTATTTTTGCTGTTCTGTACTCTGTAGAAATGGCATAAACCTTTCATTTATTTTCTTATTTCAGTTATATTTTCCCGTTTTTAATTTTGTACCGACAAAATCTCGGTATATTGATTTTATTAAAACGCATAGTTCCATGTGTTTTATTTTTAATTATTGTTAAAAACAGTTTAGGCGACGCATATCATTTTTCAACATATAAAATAATTTATCAAAAATTGATTGTGACAATTCCATAATTTTTAGGTGCGCTATTAGAATTTATTTTGTCATTACCTATATATGTCTTAAAATGTTAGCAATAATTTGACGATGATTCATTTCATTTATAAATTATTATGCCAAATCTTTGTAGGTTGGATTATATTGTTTATATAGAATAAGTCTCTTAAATTGCATTAATGATTTATTAATGGTGACATACATCTATATACATTTTTGAATTTATGAATAAACAAATTTATTATAATTTTTATTTTATGTAATCAGTCTGTATTGTCAACTGTATCATTATTTGTTAAATGCAAAAATCTAGTAATTTGTAAAAATCTTATGAATGGTATAATCTTTCCGAATATTGGATATTATGTAATGACTCTTTTAGAGTAGTCATTTGAATTTTTATTTTTACTTTTTTTTTATCTTAATTATTATTATACATAATATAATTTTATTTCATCACAATTTACAAGAACTTCAGTCGCGTTACAATTTTGCTTATTTTGCTTAAAATCAAAAATGAAAAATTAATTTTTATCAAATCTTCTATCTATCGATATATTGCACTAAAGCATTTTAACCATAAATGTTGCTGATCAATACAATCTGGGAAGTATATGGCTTTTTGTCTGAATTTTAACACTTTTTGTTTTAAAACTTCCTAATTTTTTTGCTAACATTGTAAAATTTTCGCACCGTGTATACTAGTCCTACCTTCTTTTACATTTCATGGTTTACTCTTCTTCGGATAGATGTATTTGATGGCCCTAGTGTTTCTACATCACGGCACTGTGATATACATTGACAGTTCTATTCTAAAGTTAGAAATCTTTATTTTTCCTTTTTCGTTGTCAGTTTATATATTCGTAGCTGATGTATTTAATAACAATTTGATAGCTAATTTTAAGGATTTTTCTGTGTGGTGTAGAATATCCCATCATCTGATCTGACAAATCACATCACATTTTCCTACATTGTAATCAAAAACTACAGTTAGTTTTTCACGTGTGTAATTATTTTTGCATACAGTTACTGTTTGCGCCATATATTTTGTGGAAATTATTAATATGTCTTGTCTGTTGTTTAAGAACCATAATCCCTTTCTTATTTTGCATTGGAATCAACTTGTCTCATTTTAATTTTTTTAGTTTAACTTTTACGGATATTCTTTTTCGGTTTTTCCTTATAGTTTCTACCAAATGAGTGTTACAAGCAATTCATTTTTTAGCTAAATTGATATTGGTATATCAATTGTCTGCGTAAATTGTGTGTCCTTTATGCGGTATATTGTTACACATGCTCATTACAAGACTTGTTAGTGTTAAATATGGTGCGTTTGATTTTTTCCAGAATATATTTGAAATTGGAATGTATATCTTGGATCATAAAATAATTTAAATAGTTTAATATTATTTTTATGGTACTTCTGTTTTAAAAATTATTTAAGAATCATGCATTCTCAAAATGGTATTAATGATTCATTAATACATACATCAACTATTTCGTCGAGATCGTAATATTTACAAAAATTTTGATTCGATACATCCCCAAGTCTGCTGATCTTATGTAGCCTTCTGGTTATGTTTAATTTTGTTTGCTATCTAGTTATTATTAATTTTATGCCAGAAATCACGATATAATTCCAGATCTTTGATTTATTACTTTTTACTTGACTGAAATCCATTGATCTGATGATTGATGATTAGTACCTTCTTTATTATCGGTAGACTCTGGATGTTTATGCACGATAAATATATAAGTAGCATATTGTTACGTCGCCCAACGAAAACCTGTAAAAAAAAATAAAATAACGTATTGGAAAAATAAAATTAAAATTAAAACACTATTTAACTTTGAGGGAGACACGGGGATCCACCTTTATAATCTTATTTATTTCGACATTGCAAACATATGTTAAGGACGAAAGGCATACATTCTACTGTATTCAAGTATAATAATTCATAGGCTAGACTTATTATATGTACACTAAATATTGTAAATAATGTAAACATAAGAGACAGTTTTATCTAAGTATTGAACGCTCGGAGCATATAGATCTTACAGGAAAGACATAAACTCTAAAAACGCATGTGTCCTTAATACGTAGGTACATGGGACGGTTCGGTCCCAAACAATAACGCAGGTAGGAAACGAAACAATACCCGAGAATTTTTTAGACTCTCCTTAAAAATGCTGAAGTGTTTAAATGTAATCACATGGTCTAGAATATTCAAGAAAAACATCCATCCTCAGAAATCTTCCTCGTGCTTCCCTCCCGACAATCGATACTCACGACCCGCCAAGGCCCTACCCGCCCAGCCTCGCAGTATGCAGTGCTCTCCACTTACTTCACTGAATCCACCCCACCACCTCAGATTTGGGACAGCGGTGGACCAGTGAGAACGCAGCAAGTGCCGCCGAACGTTGACTGACTTGGGCATATATGCGACTGCACAACGCTCCTCCATGGTTATTGCTTCGGATCTTCCGACGAGTAGATATCTGTTGAGAGAGTCGAGACGAATCACGTGCATTTCTTGAGTTTAGAGTTTTCATCTGCACGCGTAAATGTACAATTAGTTATATTCTCAAATAAAAGTTTTGTTTTTTTTGAACGTCTCAATTTAAAAGTACTCTCAACCGTCTCAAAGTAACCCCAGTTGTGTTCGTAGCGGTTCCTTTCCTCGCGCATATTTCTAACTCAGGAGATAGTATTCGCGACACAGTCGACAAATTCAATGCGACAGTGCAATTTGTTCATCCTCCTCCGCACAGGCAGAAATCCTATTAATCTGCTTACCCACCCTAATTGCTTTCGGTGAATAACTACCGCACGGGCAACTTTGTCGTTTCGGTGAGGCGATCCCGCACGGACATTTTCCCCAAGCAAATTGTCGTTTTGGTGGGACCCCGCGCAGACGACGATTTATTCTCTTTCTCTCCTTACCTACTACTGATTAACCGCTCTTTCCGAGAGTCTTCCTACCTTTATGCCTAAAGTATATCGTGATGGTAGGAAGTACCAATTGCGTCGCTTATTAAAGGAATTCTATCACGAAACGAAAAATTACAACGACGCACTGGATGTCGAGCCCGTGGAAAAGAAGGAAGACAACTTCCACATTTGATCTCTCTGCAATCATCCAGAAGGTGGATTCCTCCATTGGACCTTCCAGTTTTGGTTCCTAGAACTCCGAGGTATTTGGAGATAAAGCTTCAGTATCGTCTGAAATCACTCTCCCATGAGGTAAGAGAGTGTTTGCAACGTCTCTTTAACACTCTGGTGCCGATCCCGAACCAGAAGAACTGCCCAAGCAAGTAACGGCCGAAAAGGCATGAGTTCTTGCAAAAACCGGAGCTCTTTAGAAAATTAGTTTTGTTAAGGGTCGTGCCTAGGGAGACGTAATATGTCAGAAATAAAAATTGGTGACAGTGGTGGAATTACAGAAACTACTTTTATTAAAGAAACAGAATGTCGAACGAAAAGCAATCGCAATTGAAATCCACCGGCAAAATGGAAACGCGAAGCGGTGTCAGGCGCGTTAACGAGAACGAGTACGAGGAAATAAGCCGTAGGCTCCGACAAAAAGAAATAGATATTCTAGAGCGTGTGAAAGCTCTACGCGAACGTGGAGAACTAACTAAGAAACGAGACAATTAAACCAGATTTCACCACGTTCGTATCTTCATTGCGGGAAATATTAACCGCACAGCGACAGGTAGACGATACGCGGAGCGGCTCACGCGAAGCATGTGATTTATCAATACGCGCAGCCGTGGACGCTGTTCCGACTTACAATAGGTGAAATATAATGATAAATAATTTTATTCGAACATGCAAACGCACTCCTGAATTAACACCGTCAAATGCGTGAGGCAACGGTACCTCATCTCATTATAAATAATCTCAGGGATTTAACTTACATCGCCGTAGAAGATCAGGAAATACTTACGCTAGACTATTTATACAACATGTTAAGCAGAAGTTTCGGTTAAAATCGCACATAACAACAGTATATGACTGAATTAAATAACATCTGCATGGAACCCGACGAGCATATCTTGCAATACATAAGTAGAGTTAAAGATTTACAGCAGGCAATATACAAGGAAGAGAGACTTAAATCTAATGGGTTATCGGAAGAGAAAATTAATGAGATAGAAGAATTTTCACTGGTAAGTTTCTGCGAAGGTCTTCCGCGAGATGACAGGATAGAGATCAAACTAACTGCGTGTAGGGACATATTCGATGCATACGAGAAGGCACAAGAACATAATCTGATGATTGAGCAGGACCGACTGCATCATCAAAGGTATAAACAAACCAAATTTCTTAGGGATAGACCGTTAAACAGTAGTAGAATGGAAACTAGGGATAGACAGTCGTGGGAGATAAATTTCAAGCCGACGCCAAAATTTTGTGCGCACTGCAACAAGATCGGTCACGTGAAAATGGAGTGCTATAAAGCAAGATGGAAAAAACAGAATGAACCGCATAAATACTCACGTATGGATCATTTTATCTCTTTCTCGCACTCCTCCCAACAAACACCACATGCCTAATTTCTATCCTCCGAGGAATGAATGCAAATATTGCCGGAATCTGGGTTATACAATAGAAAAATGCCGGAAAAAGATGTAGCACGAAAGTAATTCGGGAAACGTAATGCCCTCCCCAGGACTAGACGCGACTCGAGAAAGCACCACACAAACGCGTCCAGTGAAAACCGTAACTACGGAAACCTCGTTCACATCCGCAGATTTAGATTAGAGAATAACCCGAATACATCATCGGTGAAAATAATCTCTAAGGATCTAAAAAGGTATTAACATTTCTAATCGATACAGGATCAGAACCAGACATATTAAAAATCGAGAAAGCCGACGATGAAATCTGTGTCGACAAATCAAGGAAAATAAAATTAAGTGGAATTACTGACGAGATTATTTTGACCTATGCCTCTTGCACTATTGATCTGTTTGGATATCCGGTGGAATTTCATTACGTATCCAACCCCTTTCCGATTCCTCATGGTGGCATTCTCGGGGCCGATTTCCTCAACGAATCTTTCCATTTATTGTGATTCTATTTATTGCGCCAGAAGAAAAAACAATCACAGGCAGAACGTGCGATCTATTGAAAATAAACGTTTCAAATACAAATATAAGAATGGGCTACGTTCCATTATTAAACTTGGGGGATGGCATCTGTGCTGAAGAAGTAATTGTATCTAATGTCGATGGACACTTGAATACAAGAGTCTTAATACTCAGAAGGATGTGGAATAAGTTTAAGTTCCTAGTCAAAATAGAAGTCAAAATAGAAGTCAAAATAGAAGTCAAAATAGAAGAATTCGAAATGGCCGATGAAGCGAATGACTCCGTATTAGGGCGTGACTCACATGCTTTCGACAATATAGAGAGTGCTTCTTACGAAGACCCATGCAGGCATAACGTAAAAGAAAACGCAGAAAATCTAAACCGAGAAATATCTTCCGAGCCCTCTTTTCTCTGTACAAAACTTTCTCACTTTGAACGACCTTGCAGAACGATCTCTAAAATAGATGAAAATTGTTTCAGACAAATACTAGAGTACATAAATTTAGAAACGTTGTATAAAGAAGAAAAAGGAATAGCGAAAGAAATGATTAAAAACGCTTTAGACCTATTCCACTTACCAGGCAATAAATTAACACATACGCGATCTGTTAAACATGCTAGACACAACAACGATATCCGTGCGACAATATCGATTCCCGCCGATCCACAAAGAAGAAATTAACAAAAAATAAACGAGCTAATAAAGAATGAGGTGATACGACCATCGGTGTCATCCTATAATTCTCCTTTATGGATCATACCAAAAACAGCATACTGGAATGGAAACAAAAGGTGGAGACTTGTCATTGACTACCGCATGGTTAACGAAAAAACAATTAAGGACAGTTATCCTCTACCCAATACTAACCGAAATTCTAGATCAGCTAGGTAGCGCTAAATATTTCAGTACTTTTGACTTAGCTTCAGGTTTTCATGAAATCAAAGTAAATAAAGACGATGCACAGAAAACGGCATTTTCAAGCCCATACGGACATTATGAATTTACTGGCATGCTCTTTGGTTTAAAAAACGCATCATCTACGTTTCAAAGGCTACTGAATTCCGTTCTCTTCGGATTACAGGGAAGCGAATTGTTTTTTTATTTCGACGATATAGTTATATATTCGAGCTCCTTCAACGAGCACGTCAATAAATTTAGAAAACTTTCAGATAGATTAAGAAGGGTAGGACTCAAGTTACAACCAGATAAGTGCAACCTTCTCCGAGAAAAGTCGCTTATCTGAGACACATAATAAGCGCTTCAGGAGTGAAACCTAACCCGGGAAAAATTAGAGCAGTAAAGGAATTTCGGACTCCCTGAACAGTAAAGAATATTAAATAATTCCTAGGGCTAGCGGGATACTACAGATATTTTATTCCTAATTTTTCCGCTATTAGCCGACCTCTGACGAATCTGCTAAAGAAAGACGTTCCGTTTAAATGGGAAAAGAGTCACGACCATGCATTCAGTCACTTAAGAGACCTCTTATGTAAAGAATCTCTCCTTCAACACCCTGACTTTTCCATACCATTTCTAGTAAATACGGACGCTTCGAACTTTGCCATAGGCAGAATTTTGAGTCAAGGAGAAATCAGGCTAGATCTGCCCGTCGCTTACACGTCGCGTTTATTAAATCAGGCCGAGCAAAATTATTCAACAATAGAGAAGAAATTACTCGCTATAATATACGTAGTCAATCATTTTCGGCCGAATTTATATGGCAATCGACCATAAACCCTTGGTCTGGCTGAACTCGGTAAAAGATCCAAGTTCAAGATTGATCCGATGGCGACTTTAAATAGCAAAGTACGATTATAAATTATTTACAAAGCAGGCGAAAAAAAAACGTAAACGCCGATGCCTTACATCAAAACTCCATAGATTCATATAAACAATCCCTTCCGATAGCAGGGACCAGTTCGAGTGACGAAGATCTTTATGAACCAAGAAATAAACGATTTACGTTTCAAGAGTCCTACGAAAAACAAAGCATTGACTCTTCGGTAACGCAAATCGAAACAATTCAGAAAACCTTTATTACATACATGACTAATGTAACTCGAAACAAAGACAGAAACGATAAACAACAGTCCACGAAAACGAAACAAGCAAGGAAGAAGAAACGTACGAACACATAGATAGCAATATCATAGAAATAAAAGACCAAATTATAATGTATAACGGAAACATCGCGTATTTTGTCATGACGAACGGAACACCCGTCGACAATGGGGCAAAAGAATTATCTGACTACGGTAAATTACCCGCCATTACCGATGTAACCCTCGGCAGGGTAAAGGATACGAGAAAAAATAACAAAAGGCACTTTATAGCACTACCCGTCAAAAAATGAATATCCTTCCGTATCCAGCTCTGAACGTTAAACGAAGCACTTCATTCTCTACTTGACGCTGCCATCGAATTACAACTGAAAAGGATAGGGATAGCTAGAGGACTAGTGGTTGACATACCCTGAGCCGTCCTAAGACGAAAAATCCGTTCAATCTTTTCAGAAAGACAAACGAAAATAATTATATTAAAACACGAAATAGTGATACCGAAAGAGATCGAACGAATCGAGATAATCCATAATAATCAAACAACTCCCATTGGAGGTCATAAAGGTGTATGAAAAACATATGCTAGAATCCGACAAAAGTACTACTAGCCGAAATTAAAGCAGGACATGTAGAAGTTTATACAAAACTTTCGCAGCTGCCAAACGAAGAAGTTCGTTAGATTAAAAACGTATCAGCCGATGAAAATCATAAACACACCCAGAATGGCATTCGATAAAATTTCTATGGACATCGTGGGCCCGATGTCCACTACGAAATTAGGGCATAATTATATACTCACTACCCAGGATTTGCTAACAAAATATTCAGCCGCGATACCTTAACAACAAGCTTTTTGGGAGGAAGTCGCAGATGCTCTCATAAAGAATATAATATGTAACTTTGGTTCACCTAAAGGCATTCTAACTGACCAGGATACTAATTTCTTGCCAGAACTCATGAAGGCAATCGCAAAGAAATTTAGAATCAATTAATACCAAACTAACACGTATCACCCGCAATTGAATGGATTAATAAAAAGATCACACCATGTAATTACCGAATTCTTAAAACATTATATTCAAGGCAACAGTGACTGGGATCATTGGTAAGATATAGTAACATTCTCATATAATACTAGCATGCACGAGGGAACACATTACAACCCTCACGAATTAGTTTATGAGAGGTTAGAAAGGACTCCGAATGAATTAACTTACAATGATCTCCAAAACGAAACATATGCACATTACTTGAAAGAATTAAACGAATAAATAGATAAATCCTAAGACAAAATTTAAATCGACAAAATTTAATTAATGCAAATACAAATCGAAAATCTATTACAACAGAAAACAGAGAATTGTTAATTTTAAGGTAGGCGACCGCGTGTACCTCCTTAAAGGTTCGAATAAAGAGAAACTTGATGAAAAATACATAAGACCATACGAAATTATAACTGTTATCAATAAATGCAATGTAAAGATACGCATTCCGACAGGCAGTCGCATAGTGCATGCTAACCGATTAAAGGTTGATAAATCGAAATAAAATGTCGATAAATGGCCGTCATGGAAATCTACATCACCGATCTACGATATTGGCAAGCGCAGCATGGCGCAAAAGTCGCTTTCCCTTCCATGACGACGATCGCCAAGTAAGATCCCCACCATTACGTTAGCCGTTAAATCTTAAATATAAGCAGCGCAGGCCTAGCTCCGAGCATCATTCACTCGTCGACTTTTAGACCTCTTACTAGTAAGCACAATGAAACATAGCTCTTACCTTTATAAGTACCGTAAACGCATTAATAGTGTACGACTGTGCCGGAAGTTCGTTAAATATCTCACCGTTTTCCCTCTTGGATGTGGCTGAATGTGAAGTACCAGACCTGCAACCAAGGAACAACTCGATACAACTGTTGCAAGCTTTGGATTACGATACAGCAAGAATCCAACAATGTCGATTCGAAATAGATTGAACAATTTATCACTGTAGAATGTACTCATACGTTTCGGCGGTCAACAATGGGAGTATTTGCATCCACTCACTCAACAACTATGTCAGCAGATGCACGCAACGGGAAGTCTTCTTTTAGGTCACAACACATTTATCTCCGGATTAAATAAAAATACTACCGATACAAGGAGTATCACATTAAGCGGCTCTATTTCTACCGATGGTACATGCAAAATATCTCAATGCAGCGACCCTTATGGTACTTGGGATGACGTAGCAGTCCAAGCAACAGTAAAGACTACTCTGTGCGATTATTACGCCCCAATCTGAAATAACTAGATACATCTTAATTCAGAAACTATCTGCGCACTAAACGAAGAGTATTATCTCGTTGTGGACGGTAGTAAAAGCTATTGGTCTACATTATCTATGGATAGTTGCGATTTTAATAATTATGACGTATTGTATGAGGGGCCAGCAGTAAAATTGATACGCGCCGAGTACAGTAAGGGTCCGACACTGTACACAGTTACGACGCAAGATAACACCTTTGCGCTCACACGCACTAACGATTTCTCATTGGGTGGGTATATTCTGTCACGCACAGAGCAACCAAAGATATTCATACTAGAAACATCTTCTGGTAGAATTTTCAAGAGTAAAACAAGACCTCTGTGGAAAATCTAGACATGTTTGCATATGTAAATTCTAAATTCATCTTCGTGAAACGAGACATCAAAACACAACTAACTACTCTATATATAGACATCACGAGACAAAAGTGCATCCTGGAATAAGTCTTGAAAATTGCACTTTCACTATTATCCATCGCGCCAGATGAAATGGCCTATACGATAATGAGGAAACCTGGATATATGACCATTCCCGCAGCCGAAGTAATATATTGGGTCGTTCGAAAATTCATTTCGTTTTTTCCCGACAGAGGATTTAATTGTATTTTTTTGCACCTAACTTCATACTTAAGCCGCATAATCATTATATGTTTTGAGAGTTGATATAGCAAGGCTTGTATGTGAAAAAGTCCAATTGATTCTACGGAGTAGCTTTTTAGTTGGCGCCCTTTTAAATATGGAGAGCAATAAGCAGCATTTTCGTCATATTTTACTTTTTTACTATAGAAAAGGTAAAACTGCTGTTTTAGCCAGAAAGAAATTAACTGATGTGAATGGAGAATATGTGTTGACAGTATGTCAGTGCCAGAACTGGTTTGCATAATTTCGATCCGGCAATTTTGATGTCGAAGATGCACCACGTTCTGGAAGGCCGGTTGAAGCTGATAAAGACATGATAAAGATGCAAGCCGGCGAATAACAACACGTGAGATCCGTGAGAGATTAAATTTATCAAATTCAACTGTTTATGATCATTTGAAAGACTTGGGTTTAACCCCGAAGCTCGATATATGGGTTCCCCATGTTCTCACGAAGAGAAATTTGTGTCGTCGCGTTGACGTCTGTGATTCGCTTCTCAAACGTCACGAAAATGATCCATTTTTGAAGCGCATCATTACTGGGGACGAAAAATAGGTTGTATATAATAATGTCAAACGCAAGAGATCATGGAGGAAAAAAGATGAACCGGTTCAAAGCATTTCCAAAACCAATATCCATTAAGAAAAGGTGATGCTATCAGTTTGGTGGGATTTTAAAGGAATCGTTTTTTTTTTTGAGATTTTACCGGATAACACAACAATTAATTCGGAAGTCTACTGTCATCAGCTGGACAAACTGAATGATGCATTTCAACAGAAAAGGCCAGAATTAATCAACAAAAAAGATGTAGTGTTCCACCAAGATAATGCGAGACCTCATACAAGTTTGGTCGCTCGCCAAAAGCTTTTACAGCTTGAATGGGATACAATGCCACATCCACCATATTCTTCAGATCTGGCACCTTCGGATTATTATTTGTTCCGGTCAGTGGAAAATTTTTTAGACGGTAAAACCTTCACTTCAAATGAGGAGGTCAAAAACCACCTCGATCAGTTTTTTGCCAGCAAAGACCAAAAATTTTATGAGCGTGGAATCATGCTACTACCAGAAAGATGGCAAAAGGTATTGAACCAGAATGGCCAATATTTAATTTAATAACATATTTGTTCATTATACAAAAATTGTGTTTCATTTTGACAAAAAAAACGAAATGATTTTCCAAATGACCCGATACTTAATTAAATGTATACCGATCGATGTAAAAATAAGACAAGTCGAGAAATGCTACAAGGAACTTGCAATTACTCACCAAAACAAATCGTGCTTTCTAGCACCCAAAACTCGCATAATATCAAGGGAAGGCTCATTAAGGGATTGCAACGAGCTTCTCCCTAATATGTATAACTTACATAGTACTTGTTATCGAGTAACTCCGAAACTAATCGAAGCAATATCTCCTCCGATGATACAACCGTTAACAAGACCAAACTGGAGATATATCGATCCCGAACATCTGAGATCAAGCGGTATTTATTCCAATGACGACTTAAATAAGTTATGAACTCACATTATGGAGCCCGTCGAAAAACCCGCCACCCTCGATACATTGGCCAGAGGAATTAGGGTTAAACACGTTCCTTCAGAAAAAATATCATTATACAAACTTATGGACAAAGATTCGCTAGAAAAAATCGCTACAAGCAGGAGCGAACGTCTTTGCGGTGCATTGATTACATTCGGGTCAGCAAGTGCCGGCATCCTCACAATATTTATAATATTGCGCATTATCAACTACGTAGCAGACTCTCCTCCATGGTTTCGCATTACATGGAATTAATGAATAGAATATACACATAATATTAGGTGGACCCGAAAGTAATGTCGTTTCTGCGCATGTCGATATTTGATTGTAATTAAAAATAAAAACTTGTTAAAAATTTATTCGTTTGAATTTAATTTAAGAAAGCGACAATACTTTCCGGTTCTTCTAATAGCAGCCTTATGGGGTTTCCTGACACATCTTTTATTACACTTGACGAGGAAATCCGATGAAGACAAGGATACTAAGGATATTCCAGAGATATATTCAGAATCCAAGGACGAGAGCGAAACACTGGATAGCACTAGGAGAACAAAGACGTACAAAGAATTAAGCCACATGTTCGATGAAGACATCTAGAAAATATACGTATAATTACGTACATTTTTAAATAAGGTGGAGGTGTTAGGTCGCACGACGAAAAAAAAAAATAAAATAACGTATAGGAAAAATCTGTAAAAGAAAATTAAAATTAAAACATTATTTAGCTTTAAGGGAAACACGGGGATCCACCTTTATAATCTTATTTATTTCGACATTGCAAACATATGTTAAGGACGAAAGGCATACATTCTACTGTATTCAAGTACAATAATTCATAGGCTAGACTTATTATATGTACACTAAATATTGTAAATAATGTAAACATAAGAGACAGTTTTATCTAAGTATTGAACGCTCGGAGCATATAGATCTTACAGGAAAGACATAAACTCTAAAAACGCATGTGTCCTTAATACGTAGGTACATGGGACGGTTCGGTCCCAAACAATAACGCAGGTAGGAAACGAAACAATACCCGAGAATTTTTTAGACTCTCCTTAAAAATGCTGAAGTGTTTAAATGTAATCACATGGTCTAGAATATTCAAGAAAAACATCCATCCTCAGAAATCTTCCTCGTGCTTCCCTCCCGACAATCGATACTCACGACCCGCCAAGGCCCTACCCGCCCAGCCTCGCAGTATGCAGTGCTCTCCACTTACTTCACTGAATCCACCCCACCACCTCAGATTTGGGACAGCGGTGGACCAGTGAGAACGCAGCAAGTGCCGCCGAACGTTGACTGACTTGGGCATATATGCGACTGCACAACGCTCCTCCATGGTTATTGCTTCGGATCTTCCGACGAGTAGATATCTGTTGAGAGAGTCGAGACGAATCACGCGCATTTCTTGAGTTTAGAGTTTTCATCTGCACGCGTAAATGTACAATTAGTTATATTCTCAAATAAAAGTTTTGTTTTTTTTGAACGTCTCAATTTAGTAACCCCAGTTGTGTTCGTAGCGGTTCCTTTCCTCGCGCATATTTCTAACTCAGGAGATAGTATTCGCGACACAGTCGACAAATTCAATGCGACAGTACAATTTGTTCATCCTCCTCCGCATAGGCAGAAACCCTATTAATCCGCTTACGCATCCTCATTGCATTCGGTGAGTAACTACCGCACGGGCAACTTTGTCGTTTCGGTGAGGCGATCCCGCACGGACATTTTCCCCAAGCAAATTGTCGTTTCGGTAGAACCCGCACGGACGACGATTTATTCTCTTTCTCTCCTTACCTACTACTAATTAACCGCTCTTTCCGAGCGTCTTTCTACCTTTATGCCTAAAGTATATCGTAGTGGTAGGAAGTATCAATTACGTCGCTTATTAAAGGAATTCTATCACGAAACGAAAAATTACAACGACGCACTGGATGTCGAGCCCGTGGAAAAGAAGGAAGACAACTTCCACATTTGATCTCTCTGCAATCATCCAGAAGGTGGATTCCTCCATTGGACCTTCCAGTTTTGGTTCCTAGAACTCCGAGGTATTTGGAGATAAAGCTTCAGTATCGTCTGAAATCACTCTCCCATGAGGTAAGAGAGTGTTTGCAACGTCTCTTTAACACTCTGGTGCCGATCCCGAGCCAGAAGTACTTCCCAAGCAAGTAACGGCCGAAAAAGCATGAGATCTTGCAAAAGCCGGAGCTCTTTAGAAAATTAGTTTTGTTAAGCAGGAGTTTCGGTTAAAATCGCACATAACAACAGTATATGACTGAATTAAATAACATCTGCATGGAACCCGACGAGCATATCTTGCAATACATAAGTAGAGTTAAAGATTTACAGCAGGCAATATACAAGGAAGAGAGACTTAAATCTAATGGGTTATCGGAAGAGAAAATTAATGAGATAGAAGAATTTTCACTGATAAGTTTCTGCGAAGGTCTTCCGCGAGATGACAGGATAGAGATCAAACTAACTGCGTGTAGGGACATATTCGATGCATACGAGAAGGCACAAGAACATAATCTGATGATCGAGCAGGACCGACTGCATCATCAAAGGTATAAACAAACCAAACTTCTTAGGGATAGACCGTTAAACAGTAGTAGAATGGAGACTAGGGATAGACAGTCGCGGGAGATAAATTTCAAGTCGACGCCAAAATTTTGTGCGCACTGCAACAAGGTCACGTGAAAGAGAACATTAAATACAAAGAATCTTTGATGCAATCAAAGTATGTTATAAAGTTCATATTTTATGAAATGTTTGTTAATTTAAAAACAGGATTGTAATATCATTAGAAATAATTGTTTTAGAGCAAGACATTTAGATTAAGATCTACGCGATTTACCCTCTACTTTGACTTGTGCGATTTTCTTAAAAATATTTGTCATTCAGATTTCATATTTTGAAGAGTAGATTGAATTTCATCAAATGTTAATTCCTAATCAAATTCATTGCCTTTAAACAATATATTTTGAATTGTTACGATCATCAATGGCAAACTGACTTTAATACAATTCTAACAAAACATTTGTATGAAAATTATATTCTCCAACCTTCCACATAAAGTATCATTAATTACAACGTGATAAATGATTTTAATACTTTTTTATTATGACAATAATTAGACTGCATAACATAATTTTTACGCAAGATTACACTATGTTTGATTTCGTATTATCGGATTGTTCAAAATGTCTTTTCATTAATCAATCAATTTTTATGTGTAATCTTACCACCGGTATGAAAAATATACAAAAAAAATTAAATAAGATAGCATTCTTAACATTAGCAAGCTAAAAATTATTGTAAAAATACAATTTAAATATAGAAAGTGTCGATAAGGCTAATCAATATGCAAATTCATATTGTTTAATGAGAAAATCGTATAATTGGCGGAGAAATTTTTTTTTGAAGATTAGAAATATGCGCAACCTATAGCTAATATAAGGTGTCAGTTAGAAGAGAAAACAAAACGATTATGTCACATTTTATGTTTGTCCGGAGATTGCTGGAACAACTTATAGGTGATTTTCTTGATGAAACATCTTTAATAGTTACAGCAGATCGAACAATAACAAAATAGACTATTATGTTTATTAAAACTGTTGTAGATTCCAACATTACTATAACTCATGGTTACATTTCAATTTCAAAATCAAAAGCGCATAAAAAAGAAAGTATATTTTTTAATTATTTTAACATTATTTTTCTATACATTCGGAGATGAGCCATACGCAGAATGATGATGATTCCATGCATGCCCGTATCGAATAGCATTATAAAAATAAATCCGTATATACCCAAGATGAATAGTGCATACACATGAGAAAATGGAAAGTACATAATTTAAGAACTTATTAAAGAAAAGTTGTAGGCAAATATATTTAACTATAAAAATTTCTCGAAAAAATTTAATTGACCTTTTGTTTAAATCATTTCAATTCTTTTATTTCAATTATTTCAGAGAAATAAGTATGCGATCAAATAGGAATTCAATTAGCGTTAAATATGATTTTAATGGAAAAAATAAAAAATTAAAATCTTAAGATAGTACTTAAAGTAAAATATTACGAAATATAGATTATAAAATGCCTACGATACTAAAAATCAATTATCATTAAAAAAAAAATTTATCATCAATGGTTTTTAAAAATCCTACCCAAGAAAATTTATTCAATTGTATGATTTAGTAATATTATTATCTAAATAGATTAATTTACGTTTGTTTACATTTGTGATCCGTGATTGACAATAAACACCATCTTTTATTATAATAATTATTTATTAAGAAAAATAATAAAAGATATATAATTCTAGTATGATACAAAGATTGTCACATGCTATGTTAATGATGTTTCGACTTTTACTACTCGTATCCTCATAGATAAATACTCTATGCGCATAACAACATTAATTAATCAAGTTTTACTTATTTCATTAAAAAATTTATTTCAGGTAAAAAAAAAATGTACACCATTTCATTTTTACAGTAGAATACTACCTGTTTAATGTAATAGTTTCCGCAGCTAAAAGCATGCTACTTTTCGCGATTAAAAGCAAAGCGTACTTCTTTTTACGACGGTCTACTAAAACATCCTTTTCGCTGCAAAAAGGCACAACATACTTTTATTTGTTTGAATAAGTGAAAATAACGAAAAACTGATGCATGGATAAAACTTATCAAAGATTTCAACACGCTCTTTTTACAGAATTTACAGATCTTAAAATATTAAAAAATTAATACGAAAACATAACGGAAAAAAAATAGCAGAAATGTCGGAAGCATAAAGTGTATGTGAGGATACAGAAGTTGAATCAGCTAACTAAAGGTATTAATTTTACAACTATTTACAAAGATATTTTAGGTACACAACAGGATTAGAATAGGAATACGGTGATGATGCAGTTCAATGTAAATATATAATTTTTCCCCATGGATTTTTTGTTAAATATTGAATCTTTTTCAAAAATTATTCTAAGTTATGAAATAAAAGAAAATCGTACAAATGAAAATTAATTAAAAGATAATATAATAGTAATTTACCAAAATAATCAAAATTATTTACATGACTTAGTCGAAGAATCATAAGTAAATGTTTCTAGTAAACATTAAGTGTAATTCTTTCAAATGTATCAAAGTGTTTAGTCGTGAAAGTATATCAAACGGAATAAGTGTTGATGTGAGAGCTTTATTAAAAATTCTCAAATTCGAACAACTACTATTAAAAAGCAACAGTAATATAGGAAAAAGTAAGACAATACAAAAATCAAGTAATTTGGTAAAACCATCAATAAATGAAAGACCGAAAGAAAATAAAGAAAATAATACAATTTCTTACACTGCTTCTCTAGAAAAAGATTATCTATCGATATATCACTGGGTTACAATTGATTCAGCTGAATTTCGAATTATCTATTTGAAATTCTACCACTAAATTCTGAAACTTGGTTCAAATCATTATTTACATTACATCACATAAAGGATAGAATATTCACCAACATCACTTAAGAGTCTCTTCGAATCAATTATTTACATCATTACATATAAATCAGTAGAACCTCGATTTCCGAACATCGATTAGCCGGATAAATATTGAGGATATGTGGCGATCAGCGATATAAATATATATTAACATATCATTGTCAATTGATCTTTACTTTCTAAATCTGCATGTCGAAATGTAATCAAACCGTTTTATCAATTCAAATGTAATGTGAAATATTAAGTTGGTTAAATAGTGGTAAAAAAATAACTGAAATAGCAGCGTCTTGTGGAATTGGAAAATCAACAGTTTGTGACATTATAAGACGAAAGTGTGAAATTCTAAATTATAGTGAGAGTTAATTGCAGTGCACACGAAAAAATATGAAGTCTGTTAATAATAAAATTCTTGACATTGCTACGTATCAACGGTTCTGTCAAAAGAAGGGCAGAGGATATCCGGTCCTATCGTATACGAAAAAACTATATAGTACAATCGAAAATTGAATGAAGATTGTAATTTCAAAGCATCATCGAGTTGATTAGCAAAATTCAAATCACGTTACGATATTCGTAGACTATGTGTCAGGCAAAAACCTTCATCGGATAAATCTGCAGCTTTCAAAAAGAGTTTATAGAATATCTAAGGAAAGAAAATTATATGTTGGAAAATGTGTATAACGCAGATGAAACTAGCTTGTTATGGAAATCATTTTCGCAAAAGACATGTGTCAACATGAATGCTTAATACCGGGTCATAAAGGTCGAATCACAGCTCTTGTCCCGTGACAAGATTCCCGCTTTATTAATTGGAATGAGTAATAAACCTCGATGTTTCAAAAGATGTACATTCAAGTACTATACTTATTACATATATGTCCCACAAAAGTGCTTAGATGAATTACAACATTTTTATTGAATAATTTTCTATGATTTTTATTTCAGCAGTGGAATAACGAACACTTAAAAATGGACAAGTGAAAGAAAGTTATTATTGATAGATAACGCTGTTTACTATATCAATGATGCTTGTCAACAATGTTTTTAGGCTGAGTTCTATTAACGTCTATTGTCTATGGACAAAGAAGATTTTCGATTGTTTCACGCATCTCATTTGACGCTGTCGAAGTTCACAAAGTAAGATTTTAAAACATATCAGTATTGCACCATTATCATCTACACACATGCAAATATTATTTTTCATTTCGAAGTCATTTTAACTCCATAACCTACAATATCGTACAAAATAACTCCAACAATGTAAGAGTGCACAAAATGTAAAATTGCATTACATGTACTAATATGCTTTGAAAGATACCACACGATGCAAGATTATTAAATTTTTGTAAATTTTAACAAGACGTTCATAGTTTAAAATATGTGTTTATTTAGAAATTGTAATAAAAACTTGTATTAATTTATTATTCATTTCAAGATAATAAATATTTCTTGTTCAATGATTAATTGGTAATTATTTATCAAACATCTTGCAAAATAAAATTAGTTGTATCTTACACATACATTTATATATCAAAAAACAATTTGCATAACTTCGAACGTTCTGCCTAATCGTGAAAAAGCTCGATGTGTGACTGATCTTGTTGTTGTTTATGCCAATATGCTATTGGAACTTAAATCGTAAGGCAATAAAATTTAATTGCGATGACTTAGGCTTAACGTATTTTGTAAAATATTTCTACATCCAAATTTACTCTCTAAATATTCAAAACCACTTTTTGTATGTTGAATCATCTACAGCATTCTATGATTCCATATAAAGGACAAATTTCCTCATTAATTTACCACGAGTTTTTACCTTTTCGGAAATAGAAAAAGCAAATTTGACGAAAATATCCTTTATTTTGTAACATATTTAATATTTGACAAAAAAAATTATGGTTAACTGATCACAAAACAAAATTTTATTAAAATAATACCAAAAATGTCACTTTTATAGAACAAAAAATAATATTTGCATACGTAAAGTTGATAAAGGTTTTAAAAGCTATTTTTCGTCAACATTTGGAGAAAACAGAATGATTAAATTTATATATTTATATATTACAAAAACAATTTTCTATGGCTATTTTTTACATTGTTGATGTCCATAGAATGGAATCTAATATATTGGATAGTATATTATATAATATATTATTGATGTATAAATACATGTATGTAACTGAAACAGAACTGATTGGTGGAACTGCGTTCCGTACTGAAATAACGGAGCGGAGACGGAACGGAAATAGAACTAAGATTGAACTGAAATATGTTAATCGATCTTTGAAAGCCAAACATGAGAAATACGATTGAGAACAATGATTTAATTTTCACAGATGCACTTCCATACTATCTTCCGACACAAAATATTAATCGTATTGTTATTCTCGACTTCTCCTTGTTTAAATACATTTCAAAAAAATCCTAATGTAATCTTTTTAAAAAAAAATAAGAGTAAGGAAAAGTGTGCATACATAATCGCAAATAGTAAAATAGTAAATGTTAGTATGTTAGTATAATAGTTAGATAATGATTGTCTAAATGTTTTTAACACTAACCATACAACGTTTTTTGAAATGACCGGTTTTGGATTTTGAATACAAATTTTGCATTCACTATTATTTTTTTCTTTATTTGATT